ACTATTTATTAAAGAGGCTATCTTTCTTCCAGTGAACATGTTTGGCCCCTTTATCAAAGATAACGTGGCTGAGTATGTTCATGTTTGTGTCTGCAGCTTCTAAACTCCTCCATTGATCCTCAAGTCTGTCTTTATGCCAGCATCATGCTGATTTTATCACAGTAGCTTTATAGTACAATTTCAAGTCAGGGATTGTGATACTTTCTGCCCTTCCTTTGTTTCCCAGGATTGTTTTTGATATTATGGTGCTCTGCTTCTGGAGCCAGATGAATTTGAGGACTGTGTCCTCTAGCTCTGTGAGGTATACTAATGGTATTTTAACTGGGATTGTATTTAATCTGTATAAAAACTTTGGCAATATGAACATTTTCACAATGTTCATTCTTCGTATCAAGGAGCAAGGAATATATTCTAATGTTCTGAAATCCTTTTCAATCACTTTCCTTAGAGTATTATAGTTTTCACACTACAAGTATTTCACTCTCTTTGTGAGATTGATTCCTAAGTTTTGCATTTTGGGGAAGGGTTATTTTATAAGAAAAATTTCCCTAATTTTTCTCTCAATGTGTTCATTGTTGTGTAAAAAAATGCTATTGATTCTTGAGTGTTCACTTTGTGTCCTGCTATGTAACTGAGTTTGTTTATTAAATCTACAAGACTCTTCATGGAATTTTGTGGTCTTCAATGTAGAGTATCATGACACTTGAAAATAATTATAATTTCACTTCTTCCTTTCTAATCTTTATTTCTTTTATTTTTCTCCCTTCTCTAACTTATCTGGCTAATGTTTCAAGAACTGTATTGAATATGAGTGGAAACAATGGACATCCTGATCTTTCCCTGAATTTAACGCTAAAGCTTTAATCATTTTACCCATCCAATGTGATTTTTTTTCTCATAGATGGCTTTTATCAAGATGAGCTATAGACCATTTATTCTGATTTTTTGTAAGCTTTTTGTCATGAATGGTTGTTGCACTTTGTCAAAAGCTTTTTCTGAATCTATGAGATGATCATGTGGTTTTTGTTCTGGGCTCCATTGATATGGTTTATTACATTTATAGATTTGTGTGTGTTGAACCATCCCTTCATTCCTGGGATGAATACCATTTTGTCATGATGTATAATTCGCTTGATAATTTGCTGAATTCTGTTTGCTAGTATTTTATTGAGGATTTGTGCACTTATATTCATTATAGATATTGTCTCGTAGTTCTCTGTTTTTAGTTGGATCTTTCTCTGGTTTTATAATTGGAATAATACTTGCCTCCAGAGATGAGTTTGGAATGGCTTCTCTTTCAATTTCATTGAAGAATTTCAGAAAAGTTGGCATTAAATCTCAAGTTTCTTGTAGAATTCAGATGAGTTGACCTTGACCTGGGCTTTTCTTTGTTGGTAGATAAAGATATAGATATACATAGATATAGTTATAAATATAGATTCAATTTTGTTTCCTATTATTGGGTTACGCAAAGTTAGTATATCATCTGGACTCAGTCTGGGCATTTCATATGTATCTAGGAAAGTGTCCACTTCCTCTGCATTTTCCATCCTGTGAGAGTAAAAATTTTGGAAATGGATATTAACGATCTTCTGGATTTCCCTAGGGTCTGTTGTGATTTTGCCCTTTTCATTTCTTATGGCATGAATTTTTTTCTTTCTTTTTTTGGTTAGGTAGTCTAGGGGTTTATTGATTTTATTTACTCTTTCAAGGAACTAAGTCTTTGCTTTATTTATTCTGTGTATTCTTTCTTCAGCTCCTTTGCATTAATTTCTGCTCCAATCTTTATAATTTTCTGCCTTCTTTGGTCTTTGGGTTTGAGGGTTTTTTTTTTTTCTTTTTTTTTTTTTCTGGGAACTTGAGGCACTCCATAGCATCATGTATTTGCACTTGCTCTGTTTTCCTAACGTATGAGTTTACCTCTATAAATTTATCTCTTAAGACAGTTTTCATTGTGTACCACAGGGTTCTGTAAGTTTTATTTGCATTTCATTTGATTGTAAATACTGTTTAATCTCTTTAATTTTTTAGAGGTTATTATTTAATTTTCATGTCATTATGGTGTTTTTCCTATTTCTCTTTTTGATAATTTTCAGTTTCATTGCGCTATTGTCAGGCAGTCTGCATGGGATCATTTCAATTCCTTTGCATTTACTTAAACATGCTCTTTGTGATAATATATAGTACATTTTGGAGAATTTCTCCTGTGCAGTGGAGAAGAATGTGTATTGTGTTATTACTGGGTTAAGCCCTCTGTAAATGTCTACTAAGTCCATTTCTTCACAAGTGTGACATAGTTCTGTTGTTTCTTTGCTGATATTTTGCCTAGCTGATGCATCTCTTTGTGACAGTGGTCTGTTAAAGTCCCCCATTATAACTGTATTATTGCTCTTTTGATTTTTCATGTTTGTCAAAATTTGTCTTATTTAGGGCAGTGCTCCAACATTGGGTACATGTATATTTATGATTGTCATCTCTTCTACTTACACTTTTCCCTTAACTTATGTAGTGACCTTCTTTATATTTTTGAATGATTTTTGGTCTGAAGTCAGCAACCAAAATAGATACTCCTAATTTGTTCTGGTTTCCTGTGGCATGGAGAATTTCTTTCCAGCCTTTGACTTTCAGTCTGTGAAATTCACTTTGAGTAAAAGAGGTTTCCCGCATACAGCATGTTGTTGGATTTTGTTTTTCAATCCACTCTGCTAGTCAGTCTTTTTAGATTAGTGAACTGAGGCCTTTTATTTTGATGGTTACAACTGATATACATATATATATATATATATATATATATATATATATGCTTATCATTGTCATGTTATTTGCTTACTGTAGGTTCCATACTTTATTCATCTTTTTTAATTACTTGCTCTGTTTGTTGCTCATTTTCTGTTGCTCTTGAAGTCATAGTTGTTTCTCTCTCTTTTTAGGATATCTGTCAGTACTCTGTCTAGGTATGACTTGGTGATCATAGATTTACTCAGTTCTTTCTCGTGGAAGGATATTATCACACTGTTGAATTCAATAGATGGTTTTGCAGGATGTATCATTCTTCGTTGGATGTTATTTTCTTTCAGGACTTGAAATACTTCACTCTACACTCTTCTTTATTTAATGTATGTTGTTGACAAATCTGCCATGCTTTTGATGAACTCTATTGTAGGTTATCTGTTTTTCCTCTCTATCTGCTTTTAATATTATATTCTTTTGCTGAATTTCTTTAATCTTGGTTATTATGCATCTAGGAGTAAATATATTTTTGTTATGGTTATTAGGATTTTTATATGCCTCAGTTACTATATGTCAGATTCTTTTCTCATGTGTAGAAAATTTTCTGCTATCACTTTTGCAAATAGTCTTTTTATGTCTTTTGTTGTTATTGTTGTTGTTGTTGGTGGTGGTGGTGGTGATGAAGACCAAACCCAGGACTTTCAGCTTGCTAGGCATGCATTCTACCACTGAGCCAAATCTCCAGTCCCCTTTTTAAATGTCATTTGTGTTTTCTTTTTCTGTTTCTAGTATTCTTATATTATTTTTCTTTGTGCCATCTTGTAGCTTCTGATTTGTTTCGTGGTTCCTTGTTAGTTTTAAGAGATCCTTCCTTTCACATTCATTAGCTGCATTGTTGTCTTTGAAGTCTGAAATTTTAACTTAAGTTTCATTCAGTTTTGCCAGCTTTCAGTGGAATTCTTAATTTCATGGATATCTGTTTGAACCTGCTTCATGCATTCTAATTATTTTCTGTATTGTTCATTTACTGTTTCAATCATTTTTCTATCCTCCTCTATTTTCTTGTATCTTTTTAGCTGTGCTGAGCAATTATTTTAAAATTGTGTCATTTCTTTTTTATCCTGCCAAATTATTTCTGATCTTATTTCTTCTATATAGCCTGAATGACTTGTTTCTTCATTTCAGTCACTATCATTTCAGAAATTTCAGATTTGTGATTTCCAAGTTCTTGTATGTCCTTGTCTCCTATACTTGTTCTGGGCGGACTGGAGGGTTGTAATTGTCTTTTGCTACTGTGTTTTGGCATTTTTGTAGTCCCTGGTAATCACTTAGACTTAGCAGTAATGAGAGAGTGTTGGGGAGTTGGTCAGTAACATTCTCACTAAAATGGGAGCAGGTTAAGACTCACCAAGGCTCTTATTACTAGTGGAGACAACTGGCTGATGCTCAAAAAAGCTTCAGTTCAGGTAGTAAGAGTGAGCCAGATTGACTAAGAACTCATACTTCCCCCATAATTCTCCTAAATTCTTAAAAAATTGGAATAATTCCAGCACCATCTCCATGCCTACATGCTGGAGGCCAAGGAATGCAGCTCACCAGAGTCCCACAGGATGTCCAGTGTACTCCAAAGGTCTTATGTGTTTGGACTAGGCACCAAGAAAACTCCACACCTGCATGCTGGAGGCCAAGGTTTTCAGCTAACTGGAGTCCCAAGAAAGTTTTATAATTCTATATAAACTCAAAATCATATGGCAAACATATCTGTTTCTTTATTGGGAAGTCTAATCCTCATTTAAAAGACCAACTTTAAACTATGTTTCAAGCTATGGAATTATCCTGCCTAATAAACAAACTAAAGTTATTCTTCTCACCAAAATTATTTTCTAGAAACTGCAACCAGTATATGCATACAAGAGGGCCCTTTCTCAGATAAATGTAATATTGGAATTTGATAAAAATTTAGAAAATCTATAACCTGTGAGGATGCTATTCTGTAAAAGACCTTTAACCATCCTGTCTTTGGCTCATGGGTCACAGGTCATGAATTAAATGTGAGTTTTGTCTTCTTGCCTGATTGTTTCCAAGAGTTTGTATGAGTCAATTTTATTACCAACCTAATTTTTCATTTTTAAAATTGGAAGAGTTATGAACATTACATTCATCTCATTCTCCCACCAGGAGCAATGTTTTAATTTTACAGGTGAAAATATCAGCTATGGTAAAAAGATTCAAATTATAGAGGAAAATGGACTGTCCTTCCTCTACCTCACCTGAGTAGCAGTCAGGGTGTCTGCAGAATCCCCTCGATCAGCCATAGCTTTCTTCTCTTTAATCCACACTTCTTCTTCTTCTGCATTCTCCATAAACTGTAGGTACTGCAGAGATTCCTCTAGCCGAAGGCCTCTGCAGCAGGGTAGTTAGCCAGATAAAGGTAAGCAGATTCTGAGGATAAGTGGGGCTACAGCATGACGGATCAATCTTAACAGTCTACCAAGAATTATCACATGCTAGTCACAGCTGAAATGGGCCAGAGGACAATCCACTATGTGCCTAGTACTGCTCAGATCTGTGAGAAGGTGGAGATTCCTAACCTACAAATTGATTTTGAGGTATCGCATAGTCACTAAGAAACTTTACTGAAGAAAGAAAGCCCCACCCAATCAAAAGAAATGCTAAGACGTGGAAGTAGACTATTTGTCTTGATGCCTTGTGTATCTATGTGGAGAATCACCTTATATGATAAAAGTGCCATAAAACTAAAATATCATTTTGTTCCCCAGAAAGAAACAACTTCCTGCTGTTAATGAATGTAAGATTCTAGAGAGAAATTATATTCTATGCTATATGGCTGTGTTATTCAAATTATGTATGTGACTGCATGGAAGATCTATATGCCTCCACTGTTTGATTACAAAAGGGTGCATATGACATTAAAACTGGGAAAATGACATAAAACAGGTCAGTAAATATTAATTTGGCAAATGGGATAATGCATGAAATAATGGCAAAATATAGTTGTAGTTAAATGCAGAAGGAAAGGATTTCAGAATAGAAGCAGTGATAAATTTATACCTAAGGTAAATAGGAAGCATCTTGGAGGCATTAGTTATGGCTGCAAGGATGTATAAGACTGAAAGGTCTATGCAGAGAGCAATCAAAGGTATAGAAGTCCCAGAAGCATCCTCCCAATAGTTGCCAGCCCGAATCCCAGGAAGATAATTGGGCCTTTTATCTCCCACTCACCGAGCATTGGCCAACTCCTTGAGCTTCTCCCAGTGTTCAACAAAGCGAGCCATCCGCTCCTGGATCTCCTCTTGTTTCTCAGCTGCCTTGTCTTTCAAGCTTTCTGCCATATCCAGAACTCTCTGAAGAACAAACCTTCTTTGTATCTCTTTGCTCCACAATCTCTCCCCATTCAACTAATATCCCGGGTGAAGCATCTAGTACTTCCTACTCAGTATATCACATCTGTGAGATTTGAGCTGGTCCAGGAAAACCAGAGAGGAGAAAGAAATCTACATCAAGATCTATCATGCTAAACTCTCCCAGATATTTTGGCAAATGTTTCAGCCATTGTACACTACACTTCACTCATAATATACTTGACAAAGTACTCATGGGCTGCTGCCAGATCACACTGAGGGATTTTCACCACATAAGGCTCAAATACAGCTTTCATAGTTGTTCCACCCAACATTTTAACTGTTAGTGATTGCTCAGTCATGTTAGAAGGGTTCCTTGCAGGGATGAACATGGTTTTCTGTCTAGAACCACCTATTTAGAGCAGACAAAATATGGATGAGTCATGAACACTTGTGTTTGTGACTAGCGCACTGTGATTTTGGCATGCTACTTTTACATTTTTGTGGTATCATCTATTTAACTAAAATACAAAGGATTTCTCTTGAGTGATTTATATCCCTTAAGGTCTGATATCCTATTTCTACCTGTACGGCAGGTTCATGTGCAACCAGCTCCCCCTCTAGGCGTTTGTGCTTCCTCAATAAATTTTGAACATTCTGTAGATCTTTGCCATAATCATGGGAGCTCACTCGCAACAACTTCTCCCTGAGACCAAGAGAGAACAAAAAGGGAAATTTGGAATTTAGACCTTTGACGTCATTAGAAAACAGTAATGTCCTAAGAGCATATGTGTGGAGAGATAGTAAGTTCTTGAGCATTGGTGCCAAAACTGAAGTGAAAAGTAGTGACAGAAACGTTCAGAAAACATTCTACATTTTGCTAATGCAAAATAAAATAATGAGCTTATCTCTACCATTGTATAACTATAACCATGTTCCCCTTAATCCCTATAAGCTGTGCATCCTATTTTCATTACTCCATTACACACAGTGATGTTTCTCTTTTCAAGGAATGTGAAAATTAAATGACTTCATGGCTTTTATTATTTAGTCTCTTAAAATCAGTAATATTCAGGAAGAATGGGTATAGAAGTGATATGATTAAAGTCACTGTAGTTCATACTGGTATAATATGAAATATTTAAACATCAACATGAAGGACAAAGACTACAGAGAATATTATGCTATTTTATGACTTCTGGGGTCAACAAAATGTCCTCAGCATTGATATATCAAATATATCTCCCTCTAAATCCATTACTGATAAAAATTAGTGTATTTGTAGATAAGACATGTGATGGGTCAGGTTAGATGGCAAGTGCAGCTTAACCTCTCTATCTTCTGAATATTAAACATCTTAGAAGTAACATGGAACAGGAATTTTCCATCAAGTGTTGATATGTTAAATTTTAAATCCATACAGAATGTGAAGAAAAAAAGAAATTAATTAATTAATTATTTAAAAATATTTTAAAAATAGGAATAAACAATTACATATTTTTACATAGAAATTTAGAAATTTAACCATATACAGCATTAGAAAAGTATAAAAATGAGGAATAAAAAGTAAAGCCATATTAATATGCTGATCTGTAAAAGGCTCAAGTCAACAACTTTTGACATTGCCAGTCCTATGGATAACCCACTGCTATTATGGACTACTGGACTATATTGGATTATTTTGCTGAATTCATGCACCTACATATTAAATGGCAAGGGAATACCCAGCTCTGACAAAACTAAACAAAAAAAGAGAATACAAATGAAGGACCATTTTGTATCTGCCTATACAAAACAGTTATGATAGATATACAGCTACGTTCTCTTGATTCAATGAGAAGAAAGATTTGTACTAATAATGTTTGGACAGGATATCATGTCTGCATCTTGTACTATGAATAACCACTACGAAAACAACAATATGCAATGTGTTAATTAGTGAAGCTGTCCTATTTATCAGTTTTGAAACTGCTTCATTGCTATTTGTTTCTCAATAAATTAATAATAAATAAATAAATGACAAATGTGAGAATATTTTGATTTGCTAAAAAGTTCTCATAATTTTGTGACAATAATAATTTTTATGAAAATATGACATACTATATAACATTTTTAATCAGGTTTCCAAGTCAATATGGCATAAGAAACACTGAATATGTAAATATTGACAATCTGCTTATTATCCAGGTAAGATATAAATGTCCAGATTATTCTTTTTTTAATTTATTTGTTTATTTATTTGTGCGTGTGTATGTGTGTGTGGCCAGCTCAGCCCACCAGGAGGCAGGGCTGGCTGGCATGTGGTGCTGGGGGATTGAACCGCGGTCCCTCTGCTTTAATTAAGCTTGTTCCAAGTAGGTGCTTTAGACCACTGAGCCATCTAACCAGCCCCAGATTATTCTTGATATTACACAATTCATGAACAATGCATAACATCTAAGAGGTTTTTTTTTTCCAGCAGGGTTATGAATTCCCTCTCAATCCACCCACACCTTCTTCCTCCTGCATCCAGGGAGGAATTTGAAATGAAAAAACAATTTTTTATTTTGCTTTTCCTCAAGACAAGAATGATTTGACAGCTACGCCAACCTCAGGAAATGAAATATTTCATTTTAACATATGTTGAAACATGTTTAGTGTATTGGATTATCCACATATTCTGATTTAGTGATACATACTCTATCCATGACTCTTCAGCATCTAGATCCTGGAAAAACTGGAACAAGGTATAGTCCACCTTCAGGTTCTCATGGTGTGCAGCAGCCAAGCCTTCGACACTCTCAAAGCGCTCATTGACGTTCTGTGTTTCCTTTTCTATCATGTCAGTGTTGAAAGTACCACTGGAGAGAAGTTCCTGAGCCAAATTATTCAGGTCCTCAAGTGCATCCTAGGAAGGCCCAGTGTGCTCAGTGAATTAGATACCACAAGTACTACATAAACGTAAGACTTTAATCACTATTGGTTCTGGTTCAAATTGTAGGCCAAACTGATTATTTCTGAAGGTACCAAATGTGAAATTATGAAGTTTTAAGTATTTATGCAGTATAACATTCAGATTGCATAAAACTCTGATCAGCAAGCAGTTTAGACAGCACAAATATATTATTCAAGCCATAAATTTAGTCATATGCCTTTACCTATAGTTTTTTTAGTGAGCAATTACTTGTCCCCATGAAGGACTGCCTTACATAATACTACTGAATATTATCATCACTGAATGTTTAAAATATTTACCAAGAACTATTCTATTTGTAAAATTTTTAGGCTGGTCACTAAACATACCTAGACTCATGTATGCTTATTACTTTTGTAAGCAGCACTGCCCTCCATTATGTAATAGGAAGTAGCACCAAGTCCTGAGGTCTTAAACCTACAGAGCCCTTGACATCCTGTTCTTTGTGAATGCATCTGTAGCAACAAGTAAAACAGTTTCTTTACAGTTCCCCAGTATGAACTTAATGCCTAATCTTATTTTTGTCATGGATCTCAAGTTTTGGTTGACATTGGTTTAAACTGGTCCTTAAAAGGACTTCTGTGGTGCATATGTACTTCAAATTCAATGCACATGCCCAAGGTTATTTTATTATTAATTTCTAATTTTTAAAAATTAAACTTACATGTTCTTCAAGGGTCCATATCAAATATAAAGCTTTGGAAAAACTGTAACTTTCTGTACATGTATTAGGAAAAGGGTAAACAAGATAGCTTTCATGATTCACTTCTTGAAATATTAGAGTCAACAGTTTAACAATAATCAACAGTAACTATTACACTGTGTTTGTAGCTGTTGGATTGAGTTTGACCCACTTAAAGGAACAGCTGATTGGGAACACAGTGGTCAGTTCTTCAAGGCTCTGTATTCACATGGTCTACTAAGAAAGGAGATGGAAAGTCAGAAACATCTTCAATCTGCCCAGAGCAGTGGGAGTCCAGAGCTACTTACCTTTTGAGCCAACATCTCTGCTTCCAGTAGCTGGTGCTTCTTGAGCAGGTTTCCTGCTGAAGCCAAGTCCTTGGCCTGGTCTTTCAGGGCCAGCAGCGTCTCTGCCTGGGAATGGAAAAATAAGTAATAAACCTGATAGATGAAATAATGTTCAAATAGAATTACATTGAGCACCTATGTCCTCAGCTATTCTCCTTAACAGGTCAAGGGAATCACTCATATATAAATTCATTTATTTTAAAAGTATCATTAAACCTCTGTGCTCCCACCATCTCCAGATAGAATTACCTCTGAAAGCCAGAACTGGAAATCCTGGATGCCTGAGTTGAACCTCTGTTGGCGACTCGCCTCATCAAGTTTCTGCCCTTTATCAGTTGTTTGCTTCAAGAGATAGTTCCAGAGTTGCTTTAGTTCTTCCAGCTGTTCCTAATTTTAGAAATGGAATCTCATTATGAACTTTGTGACCCTGAGTTCTTTGATAACTTGAGAACATAATGTAGGAAAGTTCTGGATGTAGAAACATCTATTGCAATAAAAGATACATTTCCATTAGTCTCCCTCAAAATATTCTTGTTCATTTCAAATACACTTAACCGTTCACTGTGGACACTTCTGAAAAAGTTTAGAAGTCCTCTTTCATAAGGTCTTCAGCTGCATATTTAGGGATACCACAGTGTTCTGAATCCATTAAGAAACATTTATCTTCCAGTGATTTTTACTTTGAGGAAGAGGCAGAAGTTCTACATGGTTCCAGACCTAGTGAATAATGTGGGTGAGGATACACTGTAATTTTTCTATTGGATGACACTCCATAGCAGCACTGCTATATTTTTTTATCATAACATGTAAAGAATCTTAAGAAAAAGGACTCCTGGAACTGCTTCACAGTGTAGCATGTATTATAGGCTAAAAGTGTTCCAAATGAGGGGAAGTTTACATAGGGGGATTAATGGAATGTGTCTTTTATAGTAGTATTTAAATTGAAAAATTACCACATTGTACATGTCCAACTACGTACATTTGAGCTTGGAAGATTCATGAGGTTTGGGCTTAAAAGGAAGTTTAAAAACTTCCTGAGCTGAACCTAGGATCTGACATACAAATGGCTAAAGATTCTCAACAGAAGAGAAAAAAATATAAAAGAAGCAGGATGAGACTAACAAAGAAGAAGCCTGCTTGAAGCTCCAGGAATTGACTAATGGGAGTTGTATGATTTGAACATTATTTTATTTTTGTCCTTTGTGAAACAATGACAGACAAAACTTTGGACCACAAAGCATAGCCATATTGGCCTTTGGCCTAGGAAACACTGAAAGAGTAAAAGATTTCACTTCATGAGCCTTAAAAGTACAAATCCATTCTGAGAAAACCTTTACCTCTACGGTCTCTTCATTGCCATTGCATGCCTTTTTCTCAATGAGGGCCTTGCCCAGCTTCAGGACCCCTTCTACCTCTGTAGCTCGACCATTGACTTCATTTTCAAAGGTCTTGTGTTTCAGATACTTCCTCTGAAATAAAGCAAAAATTGTCATTATATTTTGATTTAGGAACTCAAGATAGGGTAAGTTATATTTCAATGGAAGACCAATTATGTTATCATAACTAAGATATTTGCAATATCCCACAGGACCTGCTTACTTCCCACTAGATTCAGATGTCCTGAGAGTGTGCACAATGACTTAATAATAAAGGTCTGGTGAGTATAGGGAAAAGCATTCCACCCATCCCACTAAAAAGGGAAAAAAACTACCAGGATTCTTGTTATGATCCAACCTGTATGTTGCTAGGGTCTTTGTAGGATTCATCCAAGGCTGTGGGTAGCTTCTCTTCGATCCACTCTCTCAGCTCCTCAGCATCACGGAGGAATTGTTTTAGGTCTGCCAGATTCCCAAGTTTTTCCCACTCAGCATTCAGCAGTTCTTTAAGAGCATTCCATCTGGAAGAGGAAGCTGAATCACTATCACCTTCTATATTGGCCTTTGTTCTAATTGTTCTATACATGAGTATTTCCATTTTTCAATCCACCCCATTTCTTACATATAGTCTCACTGTTTTTAGACATAAAATGCAGTGGTTAATTTCTAAAGTACATTTTTATGTGCTTTATTCCATAACTCTATATCAGAAAGTTTCCTAAAATGTCATCAGGTAAAATAATCTACAAAATAGAAGCTCTCATAGTTTAACCCATCAGGCCACTTTTCTGCATTTTTCTCTAACAGCAGACCTCACCTGTCGAGCACTTTTTGGAGACGGGCAGAAATCTGTTGCTTGGCATAGTGATCATCAGATATAAGCTGGTCTGCAAATTGCTGTAGGTTGGTGATCTTTTCTTCCTGGATAAATTGAAAGAAAAACTCTCAAATGAATTGAAATTAAGCCACTGGTAAAATTCCAAAGTTCCTCTTGAAGAAGAAATGAGATATCCTTTGTGGTTTCTGGGAAAGATCTAGGAACAAACACTACATGGCTTACAGGAAATGGATTTCATTTCAATGAAAAGAGAAAAATGTAAGAATTATATTGAGATGGGCTACTTTTCTGATATGGAATTTTTTAAAGAATGTATTCTCATGGTGAGTGTAAAAGGTGAGGGGGCCTGCCCCTTAGCTCAGTCCTTTAAGTGGCTGCTTCAACAAAGCAGTCAGACTCAGGTTGCTGTGGTTCGATCCCCACAACTCAAGCCAGCCAATCATGCCCTGAAGGCATTTGGAGAAAAAAAAATTAAAAAGGTGAGTTGAATCCAGTGTTGGGTACACTATTGCAAAAGATTGCATATAAAATCACTTATAATCTTAAAATGTAGGATTTGGAATGCTGGACTTAAAATAAGGAAGTGCAATTGCCAGTGTGATGTAGGTAAGCCAGTATCTAGTGCCAAGGTATTTTTTATGCTTCCAGGTTGTTGATAAGAAGCAAATGTGAATCACAATATTACTTAGTTACAAAGCCAGAGAGATGCATAAGTTTTCTGCTTTAGTATTAAAAGGAACTAGTGGAGGTTTATATGCAAGATTACCTGGGCAGAGATTGCTATTCTCAAGTCATCTCGTTTCTTCATCAAGGCCTCTAGGCTACTGAGGGAGTCCTTGTCATCTGACCTCAGGGAATTCTCACGTGCCACCATCCAGCTCTCGGCCTGCTCACAGTCCCCTTGGAAAAACTATGTTGGATGAAACAGAGGCAGATGATGTATTTGTTGCAGGTGGGCAGAGACAATGGCCCTACCCCTCTCATGACACACTACCAAGGGGCCCCCTGCAGAGGCACTCATATCCTTCCAATAAACACTCATGCAGTTAATCTTAGTTATCCTGAAATGTTTTTCCTGAGCACATAGTTTGTGTTTTTATATAAATTATACCCAGTTTTAGAATCCTAGTTCCCATACCCTATACCTTAAGCTCATGTCAAACATTTTACATAAGGTACTTTGTGATATTTTCACATCCTTCCTTCGAAAGCTGCAATCATTCTTTTTTCTCTTTAGCTTGAATGAATTTTTGTATTTGTTTGATTATCAACCATCTCCTGTATTAGAATGATGTATATGTTGTGTCTAATTTCACTGAAGGCATGTACAAGGCACTACATTCAGTCCCATATATCATAAAAGAATGTAACACAAAGATCATTATCTTATTAATCTTTTTGATATGGGGACCTGCAAAATATAGTTCTCAAAGAAAATCAATCAGTCTCTTAGTCATTCAGTAAATAACAATCATGCTCATGACCAGGACTGATAGCCATTTACTTCTCTTCTAATAATCATAAGAGGAGAAAACAGAAATAGTCAGTTTAGGTGTTAGGACACAGCATATAGAATCAAGAGACACCTCATTATCATAAAAATCCTCATACATTAGGTACATGCAATAGGTACATAAAAGTTCATACAAAGAAGAAACTGAGGCTAAATTTCCTTAACTACCAAAAGTTTTCTGTACCTGCAATTGCAGGCATTGGTCTAGAAGGCTTTTACGGTGCACCCAAGACTTCTCCAGATCCTCTCTGCTTTGTTGGATAGCTTGAAGTTTTTTCTCAATCTCAAGGCTATTACTGTGCCCACTGTCCATGAGTTCTCTGCCAAACTCTTCTAAGGCCTGGAAGGTGGGGGTCTCTGCCTCCATTTCTCTATGAAGCTCCTGTAAAGACACAAAAATGAGGTGAGTGAAGACAATACTCTTGGAAATGTTTAGTGAGGGCAGCCAATCAAGTCAAGGGATCAGTGGTTGCGAATTTTATAGTTGTACATACCTGGTGTCGCTCTAGCAAGATTTCAGTGATGGTTAAGTCACTGCCCAGATCCTGTGATGACACGGAACCACCAATGTCTTTCATCCAGTTCTCTAAGTCACTAGAGAAATAGACATACTGGGATTGGCAAGAAGATCCTCTAATGAGCTACTGAGCTTTCTATAGATTTCCCATCTAGAAAACATTTTTAAAGTAGTATTTTCTATCTAGTTTTGTATTGTTTATATGTTATATTAGATTTGTTGAATTTGAAGATCTCATTATATATATTATCTAATTTAAATTTGAAGACAAGTGTATAGAGAATTCTGACAATATTTTGACTCTCTTTTTGAAGTAAAAGAAGTCAGCTCAGAGAAGGCAAGTAATTTACTCTCTCAGGTCTTTGGAGTCCTGGACTCATATGTATATTCCTGTTCCTTTAAGAGGTTTATGAATTTAAATATATAATTTACTATAGATTCTCAGGGGAAGCATAGCTTTTCTATTACTTGTATCCCCAGCACAATCCAGAACAACATTCTGCCCCATCACACACAATACAGATACACACCATGTATTGATTGCATATTACTGGTTAAATCAAGTTTTGCTTCTTGATCTTTTCTTAGTATGCAAGACATTAATCAATATTAAAACTAAGATCTAGAACTTGGGAGATAGCTTGGCAGTCTAAGCCCCTGTCTGGCAAGTGCAAGGACCAGGATTCAATCCCCGGTTATCGCATGCCATGCAGACCCCAGACCACAGCTGCGCAGGGCTGCCTATTGAAACCGGGCATGGTGACAAATGCATGTAATTCCAGCAATAGTAAGGTTGAGACAGGAGGATCACTGAGAGTTCAAGCTGTGTAGTGAGACCCTTTACCAAATAAACTAGTACATAAAAAGTTTTAATTTTTTTTAAAAAAACTAAGATATATTCTTCCAGAGGACGAATTTCAATCAATCATGCATTAATTTAGAAGTTATATATGATAACAAAATTATGCCGCTCATAAAATATTCTTAGTCTTGTCTTCTACAAAGAAATCCTAAATTCTGGAGAATAGATGTTTTATTTCCAAACTAATTTGTTATTGTAGTAAATCAAGTCATATTGGATGCCTAAGTATCAAACTCATATAGAACATAGATACCGCTAGTTATTTAAAAAATTCAAAGCAAAAGCATCATGAAGTTTTAAAATAAGATGTTGGTATACTTCAAAGCTGGGAATATTATTGTAGTTGCTAAGTTAGAGGAGGAATTTCTGGGAATAAATACAATCATTTTGTTTATTTATTAAATTGCTATTTCTTAGATTGTCAATTCTTAATAGTTCTCTAAGCAGCCTGATAGGAAAAGCAGAAGTAGTACACAAAGTGTATTTGCAAGGTAAATTTTTGATTATGAAATTTAGGTAGGTTATAACATGACACTGAAAATTCTACAGGATTTGAACATTATTTTATACTATTTTTCCTTAACCATGTCCAACATACAAATCCATGCTGTAATTCTCCCACTTTATGAACTGTGCTTTTCTTCATTTTTCTTGTGTGTGTGTGTGTGTGAATGTGTGTGTGTATGTGTGTGTATATTTGTATTTGCACCAGGAATGTAGTAACTTAAGGCCTCACACTTGACAGGCAGGCACTGTGCTATTGAGCTGTCTCCCCAGCTTCTTTGTGCTTTTGTTTCCACAGCTGCATTGCATGGATTGTTTTCACATCGTGACCAGTAATGAATAATATTTCTCTCTCTCTCTCAGTTCCCTCTATTATTGATTTAAGATCTATGCTTAGTTACGTTTCACCATAGTTACCTCTATCATTTCCTGTCTCTCAGCAGAAAGAAAACCCCCATGCCTTCTAAATTCTGACACAGTCTCTTACATGACATGCACTTTATAGTTTATTTAATTGGACTATGTATCCTCATATCCATTGAGTTGTCAATATTGTATAGGTTTAAGTGTTGAACCTGGCATCTTTTAGTCTCACCAGATGTGATGCTTGGACATAGTAGTGTCTTTCAAACTCAGCAGTGAACAGCATCTGGAGCCAGCTATTCAAAGTGATAGGTCAGGATTCAAAGTTTCCCAAGATCCATGCCCCAAACACTCTCCCTCTTGGTTTCCCAGGCACCCTGCCCCCAATCTCTCTTCCCCTTGGCCCGATACAGAGCCAAACCCAAAATCATAGAAGAAGTCCACCTGACTTTGACATGGGCAAGCAACCACAGAAATTCTCCTTTGTTAACATCAAAAATCCCTACAGACCAGGTAACCTTGCCAAGATTAGCTCTCACTTGACTGTTGCAGCCTGCAGCCACCTTCCCACTCCTTAAAAGCCCTGTGCTTTGCTTTGTTTGTTGCTGTATTGGTCCACTAGACCACCAGCCTGCTTGCTGCCCTCAATAAATCTTCTAGTTACATCAGAATACCTGGTATGGGGCCATAGAGATAGCTCATTGGAATAAGTGCTTGCTTGGCAAATGCAAGGTCCCGAGTTTGATCCCTGGTACTTTCGAAAAGGAAAAAAAAAAAAAAAAAAAAGCCTGGTCTGGTCGGTTACATGGCTTCATTCCTAACACCTAGCAGCTCCACTTGGGGCCAGTTAGAGAGATGGCCCATTTGCCTGGCTGCAGTGTCCTTTTCAAGCTTTACCTGGCCTTACTGAGGAACAGGTAGAATTTGTGGGCCTCACTCAGGGCCTCCTTGCGATCCGTCATAAGCTCCTGCAGGTCTTCCCAGCCCTTGTTCAGCTCGATTTGCTGTCTCTGCAGGTCCTCCATGGCATCTGGGTGAGACTCACTGAGACGCTCTGCTGTCTCCACCAACTTGGTGACCTGGGGAGGAGCAGAAGATCTCAGAAGTAGCCCAGCCCTCGAACCTCATCAAACTAAAGAATCTTGACTCCTGGCAATCATCTCCCCAAAGATATGCCAATGATATTTAATTACATCTTCTGAACACTTCATAAAATATTATCAGTCTTTTATGTCACATGGTATCTCTAAAGTATTCAAAATTGAATTAATCATTCTTTCAAAAATAGACAGCTGTATCAGGGAGATAGCTCAGTAGAATAAGTGCTTGTCTGACAAGTGCAGGGTCCTGAGTTCAATCCCTGGTACTGCAAAAAAATAAAAATAAAAATAAAAATAAATAACAAAAATAAGCAGCTGTAGGGCTGGCCAAATAGCTCAGCAGATTAAAGTGCCTGTTTAGGCAGACAGAGGGGCCAGGAGTTAGATCCCCTGGCCTGCCGTGCTGGCCCTGCCTCCAGGGCGAGCTGAGACAGGGATTGTGACTGGGCATAGTAGTGCACGCCTGTAATCCCAGCACTTGGGAAGCTGTACAGGAGGATCACTATGAGTCTGATCTACACATTGAGATCCTGTACACCCTGTACACCATACTAAATACAAAAAAATAAAATAAAATTTAATAAATAAATAAATAAAATAAAGAGTTGTGTGGCAAGGATGGGTAAGTGACTATGCAGTTACTGGCAACTTCAGTTAGAGAACTCAAGGTCCTGGTTCTTCATGTGAGATTCTTCATGTATCTTTCCTATGTAAGCAAACGCTAGTCTCCTTCTGTTCTGTGTGATAATGCCCAGCTCTATCTTGTCTCTGACGTGTCTAGAAGACTCCACAGTTCACTTTGGGCTTTGGTATAAATTAAACCTATTCAGTTTCCAACTGAGGAATCCTCACACACTGTTCAGACCCAGTGGACCATTCAGTGTATGGGAAGTTACTTTTTCTCTTAGAGCACTGAACTCTCCTGCCAAAGTCTGATCACTTGATTCTCATTAAATAAACAAAAAACCATAAGCTTATTCCTCAGAAGTCCAATATATTGTCTCCCATCTTAATTGTCCAGGGAATTACGTTTTTTTAGTGGCCTTGTTTCAGGGTACCAGAGAAAAAGTAATATGTTACAAGATCAAGTAATAGATGAAAATGAGGAGAGTGGGAAGGAGAAACCACAAACGGGTATTGTGAATTGGTGTAAGAATAAAATAAAGAGGAAGGTAGGAAGAACACCCGGAAGTCCATGTCTCACCTTCTCTCCTAGGGGGATGAGGTCTTTCTCAAAGGTGTCATGCTGGCGCTGAAGGGCCTGAACACTGAGCAGGTCTGAACCTGGATCCGCAACCCTGAGGGCCTGGCATTTCCTCTCAATCTCCTCTTTTGTATCATCTGCTTCTCTAATTAATCAGAGAATACAGAATTTAGAGGTGATGAATGCGTATCAGATGAACTCACTACCACCTCCACCTCCACACCACAACTACCACTATCACTTATTACTTTGAGACTCCTTTTATTGTTACAGTTTACTATTATCATACCCATATCCATTTCAAAATATCAGGACTCAAAGAAGAAAAATATTTATCAAGATTATCAAGATAGTTCCATATCCAAACAATAGAGACCAAGTTTAAACCAAGAGGACCAGAACCAAATGTTTAAGGATGTTCCATTTTAAGCTAATTTAACCAGCCAGACCCATCTGATCTCTGTTTTCTCTTCCTTGTGTCTTTACAAACACATTGGTTTCTTTTTAAATAATGTTTGTTTATTTACTAATTTATGTGCACCTTTCTCTTTTTTAGTGTAGTCCTGAGTTTGCAAATGCAACCTAGAAAGACATAAACTGAACAGTCAGAATCAATGTGAGGCTTATTTCCTTTTATTGCCTGCTCCTAGTTCAGGAATATAATGACTTATACCACTTGTTCATAACTCCATATTGATTCACTATCAGGAAAGCATGTATGTACTATTGATTCCACCCTGGGGTTTGAGCAAGGCAGCACGATGTTGTTGTTTGTTATCTCTGTGCATAAGACTGGCAAATGAGGACTCTCTTGATGAATACTTGATCCCTGTTAGCACAACTGTCACTGACTGGAGAAGAATGGCTAAATAGCTGTGGTTCTGCCAGAAGAACCCGACCTGTGATTTCTGTGTGTGGGCTCCCAACAGCATCAATTTTGTGGCTGCAAGTCTCACCTGTGGAACACCTCAACAGCATGGGCACTGCTCAGCATTTGCTGCTGCTCATCTGCAAGCCTTTGCAGGGAGTCCCAGCGAGTATTCAGTTCCTAAAAGAAACAGATCCATTGGACTTTAGACAGAGAGCCAGCTCAGATGGCTCCATGGTACCTACGACTAGCTGGGATATTTTATTTTTA